CCGGCGTTTGTGAGGATTTGAAGGAGATTGACTTTGTCTTTGAGTTTAAGAGCATTCTCAAAGTAGTCATGTTGGTCCATTACTGATTCGGAACACGTTCCATGTTTTTTCCACTCGTGTTCCCAAAACTTGAACCCTTCGTTGCTTGGACACGATAGTGTTGGCCATTTCTTCTTCAAAGTACTAACCAGATCCGATATCTATACATTCATATAATAATATCAAAAATAAAATCTTTGTTTAAGAAGGAAAATGGAATATTACACGATCATGTACCTGAGATCTATCAAATTCACTGTCGGGATCGCAGTTTGATGGATATGAACCATCTTTATAGTTAGGCCAAAGACCATGGATTCCAAAATCTGCATCAGGTTTTCCGGATGTTGGATATCAACAACTACGCTTTGCATCGCAATAGGCACCTGGCCACTGCGTATATTCATTTCACATTCAGTTTATAATATATATGTTTTGACAAAAAGAATGATAATTCAAGTAGCTAGGTTAAATCAGAATAGAGACCTGAAGAACGAAGTAGAAGAAATCAAAGTCTTGATGAGGACGTGAAATGAATACACTTTGAAACATTGGAAGCTTGAGGATAAGCCAACCCTTTGCTTCCATTTTTTTTTTTTTTTGTTGTCTCTTCGTTTCTACAATGCATCATTAAAGACGTTTCGGCTTCAAACTTATAGACGTTTCCCTTGTATACCATTTTTAAGGATCAAAACCTCATATAACTCTCAAAGGAAAACCGAATTAACAAATAACCCGACACTAATAAGGATTTATTATTTTTTTTTTTAATTCGAAATTGGCGGAAAGGACAGAAAAACCAGAGAAGTTGTTTTTAATTACCGACCCAACCTATTATTGACCCGACCCATGCGGATCATCCAACCCATCCCGTGTAAATCGGATTTAAACCAATTCTCGCAACCACGACGGGAGGCAGAGGAAGCCGAGAAATTTTTGGATCAAAGGCATTCTTTGATTGGATTTAAATCGGAGCCAGAGGCACGAAGACAGAGGCATAAGGTGAGAAGGGGGAGGAGAGTGAAGTGGAGAAGGAGCTAGAGGWAGAAGAAAAAAATGAAGTTGTTGGTGAGAAGAGGATTAAGAAGCCAGGAGCATGATTAAGGACTCCTTACATGGCCCCGAACCCAGCAAGAAGACCTGAAAGAACTAATACTCATCTTCTTGTCTTGAACTCTATCTATTATATTTTGGTTTTTTATGCAAAACTGGATTTAGTGTTTCGTAGTACTAGTACTTTTAAAGTAAAACTGTGAACGTATCTTTGTTTCCAAAGTGGATTTAGTGTTTGTACTACTGGTACTTTTAGGTAAAACTGGTTTAGTTCAATAATTCAATAATTGGAGATCAGACTAATTTGTACAATTCAATGAAACAAGTGCTAGTTTAACAAAACAATCCAACAAAAACAAGTGCTAGTTTA